TTCGACTTGGTACTCGAGTCCCACATAACTCACTGGATCGACCGGTGAGTATGCATAAAATGCATTTTAGCCTCTCGTAAAAAAAAAAAAAAAAAAAAAAAAAAGTGAGAGAGAGTGAGCGAATGAAAGAGAGAGAGAGAGAGAGAGAGAGAGAGAGAGAGAGAGAGAGAGAGAGACAGACAGACAGACAGCAGACAGAGAGAGAATGTATGTGTCGCATGTGTGTTGTGTGTATACCAGCTGATCGCAGCAGGCGCCCCGCGTAAGCGCCCGCGTCTGACGGGTCTCGCGTCACCCTTGCCTATCTCTTGTATCCGACCTGTCATGCGTTAACTTCTTTCTTTAATAATTCGAAAACTAAGCTTCGGACGAAATTTTGCAAAATGAAAAATCGTCTTAGAATTGACTCAACAATGTGTCATTTCACGGACACAGGGGTTATTTTGAATCACCCTGTATATACACATTGCACATTTGAGTTAAATTACTTCATATTATTATAACTTACTTTATATTAGTTTCATTTATATTATACTTTCTGGTGTAAGCAGTCTCATTGTGGACTTCTCATCAAATAGGTCTCATTTTTAGCGTTCTCTTTAAAAATATTTATTTCATTCTTTTCATAATTGTCTTTTCGGTTTTTTTGATTGATATTTCTTTGAATTCTTGTGTATCTTTCTACAATGGAAGCATCACATAAGCGATTTGTGAGACAGTAATTTTGCAGTCCTGTGGTCTTTGGCCCTTCCAAGGATTTGTCTTCTTGTATATATTCCGTATATACCAGGACGAGGTTTTAGATGTCAGCAAAAAAGGTTTAATCTTTGAAAAAAGAACAACTCGAAAATAAATTTTGCACAAATTGCTGATAGAGTTGTCAAAAAAGTGGAGGATTTGTATGATAAAGTGTCGACATCAACTGTGACCGTAACTAAAATGGTCAATTGATTCACAACTTTCATAATACTTATATGAATCTCATAAAGTCATTTACATCACGACAAGGAGATAAAGAGAAAGCCAACTATCAAGCTAAAATTGAGAAATTCAAACAGGATGCCTCAAAGCTTTTTGACGTTGTTTCCTGCAAATGTCTCATGATCCTCAACTGTAGTTATGGAAAAGATTGATATATCTGCAATTGTCCTCAATCTGTAATAATAAACTCTTCCTATGAAAAAACAAAAAAAGATCCCTAGATTAGAAATTAAATTTCTTTATGATCAGAGACATAAACGAATTGGACAGATTGTTAGTGTTAATAAAAAAAATCACAAAAGTATTTACAAAACGGCTTAAGAGAAAAAACAAAGAGCAAACTCGCCATGAAAGCGCTGAAACAGTTGATATTCTCATAGATAATGCATCTCAGCAGCAACCTACTGCAGAAGTCGAATAGAGACTCCTGTCTCTTTGCAAGAAAACACTGATGATGACATATTTAATCTATCAACATGACACTTATATATAAATCTAAAATTAAAATAAAGTCTCTAATGACAAATTTAAAGTTAAAGAAAGTAGCATTGATATAGTATATCCGATCGAGCAGCAGCTGCGATTACATCCAGTGTTTTATTAGATGCATAAATAATAACAGAAACTGCTCTTGTTATTGATAGACATAAAAATTAGAAAAAAAAAAAAAACGTGCATCAGGGCCAGTTTGCAGAGTGAAGTTTTGGACACCTTCGCGGCCTCTTTAATTTTAATGGTCGATAAGATAACACATTAATTTTCGTAGGCAGATGAAGAAGGAATACATTTTTCTCATACAAGAATGAGAGTCAGAGTATATTTGTCATGTTATGTCTCGGTCAAGATCTGCAAAAGACACAATAGATGCAAAACTTACAGAACTAAACATATTTTTTACTAATCTAAATGTGATAGGTGTACCTATTAACATTGGTTAGAAAAATGGTATAATATACAACTTGAAATGCATTTAAAAAGATCTATCAGTGGATAATTTGCATTTTAACAAACTGCCTTTTAGACATTTTTTTCCAGTTCCTCGATGGATCCATTAAAGGCTCAACATCATTTTTTTAGATCCATTGGATAGTCTCTTTTCGGATGCTACAATTTAAAAATTAACTCATAGAATTCGAAACATTTGATTGATCATCCCGAATAGAGATAAAAATCATCTCAATAAGAATAAAAATATCTCCTTAACATTTTCGTAATCAAATCTGGATTCTGCCCACCAAACATTGCTATTTCAAATCTTGGTGCTTTATATCAGTCTCGGCGGCTCACTATTGTAAACAATATTCTTAGACTATACATACCCACACAAAATCCTTCTAGAGTTAAAATACATGGTCAAGTACATAGTATTCTTAGATTATACATATTCACACAAAATCCTTCCTGTGCTAATACATGATCAAGTACATACTTGCGTCATACGTCCCAGTTTGATTTTTTGTAAAGAAAGAATCATCAATAATACATGGCTTAAGACATTTATTTGAAACTATCAAAACATCCAGAAAACCTCCGTAAAGTTATTGATTTTTTCATACAATAAAATGCTTACTTTGCTCCGGAGAATTTATTGTTATTAATGATAATGGATGAAGACATGTTAGGGAACTTATTTTTAAAAGAATTCTTACGAAAACACATGAAAATATAAAATGTAAAACACTAGTAAATTTCGTACTCCCAAAAATCAATTTTAATGCAACAGATTATATAGATATAATTGACTGGAAAAAGTATTATCTCCACCCCTTTTGAAAAATATATCTAATCAAAATTTATCTGACTTGATAGAGAGTGGGTCCATACCTGATTGAGATATAAAGAATTTTCCATGCCATACGCAGGCTGTTGGACGCTGCGTTAAATTAATTACAGAGACAGTCCAAGCAGTTGGATTTTGATAACCTGAATAGATACATACGCTCAACATTTCGATCTAGAAAAATAATGACTAAATTCAACAATAAAGAACAATTTAGATTTGAAATGTTTTAAAACGTCGGAATTCGCCATTTGCTTGGTTGGTTGACTAGGTAAAGCGGTAGTAGAACTCGAGGTGCAGCTACCTTCTCGTAGTGAGTGGCTTTTACTATCAAGAAAACGAACCAGAGTTGTACAATATAAAATTCACAGTGATCATATGCCATATATCTCGATGAAGACCTGAAGCCTGTGAATGAGTTAATTTTCATTCAAATAGCGGGCTCCTTGTTCTCTTTCCTCGTTAAAAATTGGCTTCATATTGATGTAAATAATCTTTTGAATGCTTAAATAACATTTTAAGTTGTGAAGGAGTAAAAAATGATGGTGGAAAAACTTTTTCAGAAATTCAGAAGAATTGTCAGTCTTGATCAAAATTTTGATTTTCTTACGGGATTAATATTGCCCGATTCGAAAATTCTTTTTGAATTATCTTTGTATTTATCAAAGGCAACTTTTCCGCACATTAGATTTTAAAGTTCGAAAAAGTCCTCAGATCGAGCCACCCTAATACACATATACACGCGTAAGACGACGATTATTTTAAAGAAATCCACATTTCATGTCCGTACAATATGAAATATATTTAAATTAAAAATTTAATAAAATACATTTAGATATATTTCTTTATTATAAAAAAGAATTTTTTCTTAAAATTAGACGACCATTTTGCTAAGCTTTAGATATTCGGAAGTAATGAAATTATTATAGTAGTTTTTCTATTGCAAAAAATTATCTAATATTCATACAATAAATATAACAAATCTGTTATTGTTAATATATGTATTTTGTAATATTATAATTTTTCTATCTTCTCTTCCCCTTTTTGTCTCTCTTCCTCTTCTCTTTCTTCGTTTCTTTTTTTCTTCTCTCCTTTCTTTCTCTTTCTTTTTATATTGTTATATTTTATTTATTCTTATATCTTTAGATCAATGATTTGTCAAATTTACATGTAAATAGATTTAATTCTATCAAATTGTTAAGAATTAATTTGATACGCAAAATTATAAGAACTATTTCAATATGCGAAAAATTTAATAAATCAAAATTCAAACAAGTATTTTTACAGAAATATTGTATTATCTATTTGCATCTATAAACTTTCAATATTGAAAATAAGTTTGTTACTTTCACGAAGAATACACAAAAAATACATCAAATAAAGATACCAGAATTAGAGAATATTTTTTCCTAAGCATTAATAGATCAATGCAGTCACGAATGTTGCACATTTAAGCTGATGATGAAAGTATAAGATGATGAAAGTATAATCTGTGACAAGAATAAAGTTTATTTGCCATAATGATTCGAACTACGATTAATCCATCAGACATTATTGTCACGACAATCGATTGATTAATCTGCCGAGATTATCGAGTTATTATCATTTAATCGCAATTCGAAAAGATTCTTTTAATTGTATAATTGATACTTTTCCATGATTGCTAGATATAATAATCGATTTATGAATATCGCATTGATTTCTCTCTCTCTCTCTCTCTCTCTCTCTCTCTCTCTCTCGATAACAATATTTTAATTATGTAATACGCTTCATTTTTTTGCTATTAAATTTTTAACACTTTAATCAACGATTTTGAATTTCGATTATCAATTAAATAAAATTTCTAATCAAAATGTTTCTAGATGATTTTACGTTTTAATTTGTTGATATAATTGTTGATAACTTAAACAATTTTATTTTTTAATAATCCATTTTATAAATATTTATGCTTCTTATTTCGCGTTTATCAATGTCATTGATTATCTAAGTGCAAATTATTCATATAAGTAAAATGTTTTGATTATCAATTCTATAAAGAATATCGATTAGAATAATTTCTTAAAAGAATAATTTAAAAAATTCTGTTTTTTTTCGAAATTTATAATATGTTTCATTTTTTTCAGAATTATAATGGAAAATAATATATAATACAACAATATTAGTTAATTTAATATACTTTATAAAATAAAACAATTTCAATTACATTGTCAAAAATATATATTTGTAATATACTTTTTAGGATAAACAAAAAGTACAAAATCGCGGTACTGCACGATATCATTCCAATTTAATGTCAGAATTGAGTGACTTTACTGCGCTGACAACCAGATCACCTCGCGGTAAAAGTTCTCGTACAAAAACAACTCCCAATTTAGAAAAAAATGAAACACATATCGCAAGGGAAAGTCCATTAAGATCACGATCAAAATTATCAAGAACAACTGATAGCTCCGCTGTTACGTTACGGACAAATACAAGAAAATCTAATGTTGATAATTCTCGAAATCATTTAAAGTTACATACTTTACAAGAAGAAATAACGAAGAATCGACACGATGATAATAAAGAGAATATGCCTGAATCACAAATACTAAAACAGCAAACAGCTTCTAGACGAATATCTTCGGACATGTCTTCTGTTTGGATAGATAGTGCGAAATTGGATCACGAAGTGTTCACAAAATCCGATTACTCAAGATCAAGAACAGGAAGAAAGATTTATACAAATTATAACGGGAAAGAATTGAAAAGTCAAACAATCCCGCTTAGAAAGTCAGCAAAAGAAAACATAGGAAAGAATAAAAGTTCAATCAATGAATTGGAAAAGAAAGAAACACAATTAGAATATCCGATAGTCAAGAAAAATGCCTCGATAACTAATGTATCAAGAGTGATAGATACGAAAAACGCAAATAACTCTAACAATCGTAAAGCAGAAAATATAAAAGAACAAGATGTTTTGCCATTAAACTCTGAAAATGTTTTGAGAGCAAGTATTACTCCAGCAATTGAAAATAGCAAAGATGTCAATCTTTTAATATCTGCAACAATGTCGTCCATTAACTCATCTCCGAGACAAACTTTAAGATTGATCAAGGAGAAAGTGGAAAACAACAATATTGCAGAATCAAACACAAAGAAGAGGAAACAATTTGACCGATCGAAATCTCGAGGCATATTCAATGCACATAATCCCGAAATTGTAAATTCCGAAAGCATTCCCCGACGGAATTCGTCCAGATTCGCCGACATTGTGAATAAAGAGACAAACAGACGTTCTTCTAGTGCTAGAAATAGATCTAACACAAAAAACATTAATTCCGGAAGTCAATCCGCGTATAAGTTGAGAAGTACAAACACGACAGAAGTAAGAGGTAATGCTGCAAATAAAAATGTTGACATTAATTCTGAAATAAATATAAATGGACAAACAAAAACACGCAATTTGTCTAACAAAGAACATACGATTGAGGAAAAACAAAAATCCAAGCATGATCATAAATTAAAAGTTACAGAACTCAAAATGGATAAACAAAATATTCGGACTCAACCTGGAAATTGGTCGCGCACAGTTAGTAACTCCGGTAAATAAGAATTTTTTGATTGTTGAATAAAATGTTATGTAAATACAAAGAAATTATTAATTAATATTATTTAAATAATTAATAATTAATTTAAATAATTGATACATGTCTTAAAAAATACCATTCTTATTTATTTATAGAAATCACTTTAATATTGTTTAGTTGCTTGCGATTGTTTGATAATAAGATTTTTAAAAATATACATTTAATTCAAAAAGTTTATATAAAGTTTTCATAATTTAAATTCTTTTATTATTATTATTAATTAACAATAGCAACAATAAAAAGCTGTATATCTTCACAAAATATTTCACAAATTTAATAATAAATATATTTTTTCCAGACATTATCACTACTATTCCAAAGGCGACAATCGAAACTACGACTGTTTCTTCTTTGAATACACAAACGACATTAAGTTCTATTTCTACGATGAGCAAATCATTAACAATCGCTCGAGTATCCTCTTCAACTGAACAAATTTCTAGAAACAAGGAAAGAAAAGATTCTCGAATGAAGAAACTTCCGAAGGAAGATTTCTTTAATCATGGTCTAGGCTTTCGAGGTCGAAAAATCGAGGAATCTTCTTCAATTATTGCAGATTTAAAGACTACTACGTCTAAAAGTGAGACTCAATTACGTGGCAATCCCGGATGGACTCTCAAACGCCGATTTAATTATGTCAATCAGGATATTCCATCAACTACCTCTGCAGTTAATCGAAATCAGACTGACAAAATCATCTTATCCAATCATCTATCGAGAAGTACCGAAGTGCCATTAAGTAATGCAAAAGTTTTAACAAGAGGCACTAAAAGACCAAAAGCAAAAGACAAGAGCAATATCATATCAGATATCACGCCAAAAGATGTAACAAGAGGTAATAAGACTTTTAATAAATCCGAAGCTTTCGATTTACCTAAGAAAACTGAATTGGAGGAGAACGATAATTATCCTTTGGCATTTCGAGCTAAATTATCTCAATTGGTAAGTTTGAATTTATTTACGTTAAATATTTTTAATTATTTATAGATTTTTATTTAAAAATAGTTTTTCTTTTATATTTATTATAATAATTTTTTCCTATATATGTAAAATTCGGAATATAAAATAGCTTTTAATTTAAAGTAACTTTTTAGCTTTAATTCTTGACTAACAAAGAAATGCACGGAAGTGTCCCCCTCCAATTTTGATGCTAGTCTAAGAGGTAAAACATATCTTTGAAAAAAATCGATTTTTTTCTTTCGAGACAAATATCTCCAAAATTATAAGAAAAGATAGAAAGAAAGATAGATAGAAAAAAATTTTTAAATTAAATGTTAAATGATTTCAAGTGTTCTTTACAATGAAATAAAAACGCTTAAAAATTATAAAAAATAATGTTTAGTGATGGAGGTATATTGAAAAATTATAAAAATAAAAAATTTTTTTGACATTGTTGTAAAGTACTCTTGAAGTTAAATATATTTAACTTTAATTAAAAAATTTTTTTTATCTCTTATAATTTTGGAAATATCGTTTCAAAAGAAAAAAACCAATTTTTTCAAAGGAGTGTTTTACCCTCTAGACATATATGAGTACGTATAAAAAAATATGTAATCCTCATTTTTATCTAAAAAACATATTAAAAGCTCATCAAAATTAGAGGGGGATACTGTTGTGCATGTCGTTGTAAAAAGAAAATAAATAATAATATTATTAATAATTTTGAACGTCCGTAATTTAATACATATATATTAGAGATGCACGACATCAATCAAAATACAATAATTTTATAATTATTCATTCATTAAATTATTATATCTATTTATTACATAAGATTATTATATTTATTTATTACAAAAAAGTTAATAATATTGTAATAAAAATATATTAAGCATTATATTTCAAAATTGTTTTGACAAACTTCTGAATTTTTATCACGAGTTATTTTAATAATATTTGTTATAATAGTGTAATATTAGTAAGACAAGTGTTTATTCAATCAAAGAATACTTTCAGAAAAATTCTAACTTGAAACTTACTGAGGAAAAGAGTACAACTAGGAGTAGATTACAGGTAAGATATGACAATCGACACATTCACTAAATTAACTAATAATTATTGTAATGTATCAATAATTCATTAACACTTATATATATCCTAAACCTCGCAATTTAACATTTACAAGTTGAATTTATTTAATATTAGGCATCTAATATTATAGAAATAGTAATTATTTTGGGAATTTTTATCTTGGATTGATTAATATGTGTACTTGCATCTATCAGTGCATGAAGATAATAATATGAAAAAATAAAAGTATATTACTTAATTAACGTGGCATAATGACTTTTTCTCGAAATATAATTCTTATACATTTATATAAAGGTTGAAATATTCCACAAAAAGATTTTTGAAAAAATATTACGCAGACATACACGATTTAGCACGAAAAATTAATGCATATATTCGAAAAAATTGAAACTATAAAAAGATGTATTTGCGATAAACATAATTTCATTTTTTCGAATTCTTTAATTTAAATACTTAAATACACATATAAAGACATAGTTATATAGTTAAATTAGATTTTTAAAGATGATTTTGAAAATTTTTGAGTATTAATTTCTAAATTAGCTAAATTCTCTAGCTAGTTTAGAGCTAGAATCTCTAGACTAGACTAAAAAAAGATACTTCGTATTTTCCATTCAATTCTATTCATTTTTCGGAGAGTCCATTTAGGTTTTTTATATTGTTTAAATAAATATTCCTATATTAAAAGAATATAGTTTTCGATATAGCTTTTAAATACACATATTTAAATGCACATTTATCACATTTTCTTCCAGTTGTGGATGGAAAGATTTTAAAGGAAAGATATAGGTTTGATTACATTTTTCAGTAAATATTTTATGAAAATAAATTATTTCTCACAATCATCGAACATCAAATCCTCCTTAAGATTACAATCTTAATATTAAACCAACACAAAAAATCACAATATAAAAAGGATTGATTGCTGTAATATAAACGCAAACTCACATAAATGCATCATAAAAACCAAGCTGGATGAATCCAAAATTGGATGATAATGTGTAATCTTGACGATTAGATAATATTATAAAATTTATTTGGTGACTGATGATAGTAAAACAATATAGGAAAATGTATTTTTTAAAACTTTCGCCGGAAAATTTACAAGAAGCTTTATTTTTTAAGACCTCGTTGCAATAGAGATTATCAAATAATATTAAATTAAATATTGTAATATAAAAAGTAATTCTATATATATATATATATATATATATATAATCTAATATAATTATTTAATTAATTAATTAAAAGTATCTAGTATACAGTATCCAAAATTTTAAATTTTATCTTAAATCGTTTTGTGCTTATATTATTTTTTATAAGACTAATTTGTTTTGAAAAAATGAAAGAAATTGCTATATATTTATAAAAGAAAATAGAAGGGAATTTAATACAATTGCAAATGATATATTTATTGTATTTATTGGAAATGCTGATACACTTATGAATATGAAAAATTTATAAATTGATAATATAAAATATTTCTCCTTTAAAAATTTTCTTTTAAATAAAAGTTTTGTAATTTTTAATGTATTTTATAAAAAATTTTCGAAAATTCATATTTTTCAAAATCTCTCCCTCTTTTCCATAATTTTTGAAAGTTTTAAAATTATTTTATAGGAGGAAAAGAGGGATATTGGAAGAAGCCATAAAAAATATTTTCTTAATGGCCATATTAGAACAAAAAGTTATATGTCATTTATTTTGATATTTTGAGATTATAATATATATGAAGCTTATCACAAAATCGAGAAATATTTTTGCCTTTTCCAAAAGACTATAACAAATATACATCTAACATGTACTATACTATCTATATACGGATCACTCAATTACGAATGTGTGTATGTGAGCACGTGCACATTTGCAGATAAGAACATGTTATAAAATAGATAGATCGTTTTTTACATAATCATATTCCACACCGTGCACTATATTACAAAAATATGCTTTATATTAAATGATTGATACAGAATAATTTGTTGATAATTGCTAAAATTTGTTGATAATTTGCTAAATTTTTTTGCACTCTATTAACAGATAATGTAATATAATTTTTCAAATATTTATATATAAATTGTATGTATACTTCTATATGTATATGATTTGTTTATCTTACAATTTATTTATCTTTTGGATAAAACAGTTTTATTTCGGAATATTTGATAAAAGAAAAAATGATTAAACTTTCAGTCGTTGTCTACGCCAATGAAATCTTGGTTCGAGTTTATTATTAATCAACTGGCTGCATGGATCATCTTCTTTCTTCAGTTCATCAGTCTTCTATTTTTCTTTTAAAAGTGTAGGTGTAGCATATTTAGCAATCAGTATATTGGTTCTTTTTATTTATTATAAAAGTGAAGAATATACATGTTTCTACGATTGATTTTCATGAACGGTTTTTTAAAACATCGAAAGACAAACTGTGTCGAGGTTATCATGCCATACTAACAGAATCTATTTCTGAGCTTTCGGCAGGTTGCTTACAAACGCTTGACGATCTTCATCGCGCACCTAAAATGCAGCTCTTTAAACGACCTTTTCAGGCAACGAAATCGAGCCCGGTGAATCTGTTCTCCGAAAGATCTAAACTGAACCTGGACTTAGCTAGAAAGTTGATCAAACCTGAACTGAACGTTGATGAGAACAACTTTAATGAAAAGATCTTCCCTTATTCCGGCAAATCGCAAGTAAAAGAAATTTCAACTGTCAATGAAGACAGAAATATAGAAAAAACTACAAAAACGACTATCAAATTCAATGATGCACATGTGTCACATGGAATTGCAAATACACAGAAAGAGAAATCAATTACAAGAGACAGATTGAAGATCTTCGAGGCTAGAAAATCCTCAAAAGATCAAAATGTCAGAGATTCGTTTAAATCCATAATTAAAAAGAATCAGAGACCTTCAGAAAGAATGATCACATCTTCGCCTACAGAAGGAACATCGATGAGTAGTATTACTAAGTTTAATACTATGCCACGCAGAATCACAGCTTCGCATCGAGGTATCACATCTGTAGAGGAAACGACCACCATGACTATCGATACGACGAGAGTTCGATCTTTAATATCACAGAATACTATGCCGCGAGAACAAACATTGGCAAACATAATAGAAACTCTTGATGAAAATAATATTGTAACTATCAAACCATTAAAACAAAATGAAACATCTATCAAAATAATTAAATCAGATAAACAAAAACGCAATAATACGAAAGAAACTGCTGTGACAATGGGTACTACATCAATTACGGACGCATCAATAGAATCTACGAACATTTACACCACAGAACTCCCTCATGAGATAACATTGTCACCAACAGTTACCACGCCGAGCAGCATGCATTCGTCAGTAGAATCAAAGAAGATATATCCTGTTTATATTCCTGACGCAAAGAAATATGATTCATCGGAAGACAAGAATAGAAAACTTATGAACAATACGAACAAAAACGTTTTTCAACCTCGTTATACAAAGCAACAGACACCGGACAAAGTGGCGATTTCCATGGTAACATCGATGACTGTTGGGCCCACCAGCCGATACATCAAGAAGAAATCGGGCGTTTTCACGCCATACGATGCCGTTTCCAAGCCGTTAAGCACAGAGGCGACATTTATACACACGAAACATAGGGAGTTCCGTCCGCGAACAGCAACTTACAGGAGACATTCCGAAGTATCAACTAACCATTTGATGACCCGACAGTCAACTAAGCCGAATAAGGAAGGAACTGCTGATATCATCAGTGTAACACCAAAACCAACTCAGTATCATGCGCAAGTCATCACAGAAAAAAGTCGTTCCAAATCTTCTGAATCACTCGTTAATGTGAAAATTGACTCTTCAAACAACAGCATACCACTAGTCAATGAGAATAGTAACGGCTCTAATATTTTCAATCCCACCAAAAGCGCATTTTCCAGCAAGAACACTACTACATTATTGGAGCAATTACGGAGTACTGTGGCACCGCTCTTGAATACTTTAAATGATAAAACCCCCATTTTCTCCAGAGCTTATTCCAACGTAAATACTGGGGTGAGTAATTTTATAAGTTTTAAAAAATAATCTGATCATGTTTAGGAGATGAGCATATTTCGAGATAAATTATATGTGTGTAATATGCAGAGTGTATATCCTAAAAAGTGGGAACTATTGCAATGGTGGATTCAGGATACAAAAATAAGAGAAAAAGTTCATATAAACATATGTACGATATGATCTTGTTTTCAAGTTATAGCTTCTTTTATTTTTCAACAGAATTAAGATAGTTAAGATAACAGAAAGTACTCAAAATGACTATCTCTAACTCAAATACAGGTTTCAACTAGGGTTGCCAAATCCAAAAATCTAAATTACCGGACATTTTGTCTTTGGAAGCAAAATTTAACCAGACAAAACCGAATAAAAATAGTAATTATAAAACTAGTTTAAATACAAAATTTTATAAGAAATTATTTACAATATTGTTTTCTAAACAATTTTATAAATAATTTGGATGAATAAAACAAACAATAAACTACTGTTCTTTAATATAAGACATATTTTATTATTGAACATAAAATTTAAATCATTTTATAACATGACATTTAGTATTATAAACATTCATAAACATTTTGTTCAAATATTTAACACATTAAAATAAAAACATTTTATTAAAACATTTAACAACATAATAAAATAAAGAACATTTAATATATATTAAAACATAAAATCTTCTTCTTTAAACAAAAAATATTAAATATTAAACAGAAAATATTAAATTAAGTATGTTCGAAAATCATAAAAATTATTTCGATTCGAGACACCGCATAAGCAATAATCAGAAATTATTACTTAAAAATTCGAATTTAACGGGCATTTGGAACTTTCTCGAGTCTTCGTTTTATAAACAAAACTCGAACGTTCGAGTTGTTTCCCATTTTTTGCGCCGCATGAAAAATGCTCGTTACAAACATTTAACAACAACACTATCAACCGTCGCCTAAATCTACTCAGCTTACGAGCATGCGCGCCCATGCGTCATGATCAACTGATCGCCAATCAGCTGATCTAAAAAGATTGCGCGTATGACAATTAAACAATTATCGATGTTAGACCTCATCGACAGCCAATGATGCGCGGCGGTCACCCTGAGGTCACCGCCAAATTACAAAGTTAATTGGTCCACGTCGCAACGGGCCCAAAATTCCGCATGCTATATAATGGGCACCGCGCGTGGACTAACACAAGTATCGCACTTTTCACTAAATCGCTCACTGTAAAAAACCGCTTCGCTTGAACCGTTTTGTTTAACTGTTTTTGTACTATTACACGACCGCTTGCTCACTCGGACTTTCTTGAAATCTCGGACTTATCTCGACTTCGGAGTTATTTCAGTTCCTGAAATAATTGTATATATTCTTTTGTGTAAAAACTTTAGTGTTTAATTGTGTGGCGTTAAAATAAAATACAAAAATATACGTGTCGTGGTTCGTCGTTATTTTCAATCTTGTGGTGTCCTTAAAACAGATTCTTCGTGTCGTGCCTCCCGCACAAACATATTCATTCGCGAACATTTTCTGGTCCTTCGAGCCGGATATATCATCCGCATCCACAGTTCGTGGGTGAAGTTCTCGTGTGACATCCAGTGCGCGAACCTGAACAGAAAGACAATAACACAATGAGTGCCGATCTGAAGGCGCTATGCTTAGAAGCACAGAACGACATCCACGGGCGAATGTCCCGCTCCGTGGACAATCTGTGCAAGATGGGCGTCTCGAGCATCACAGCCGAAGCAATCCAAGCTCACCTTCGCATCCTCGACACTCTGTGGACCAAGTTCGAGGCTCATCACGATCTCATAAGGATAGCGCTGAAAGACAAGTATCTCGAGAGTGAGTACGCAGAGGCAGATTTTATTGATATCGCGGAATCAACTTACATCTCAGCGGAGCATGCTAGTCGAGTACGCGAACAATCTCAAGGGCGAGTCGTCCACCACGCCCAAGGCCGAGATTCACCAAGAGCAGGCGCTCGCTCAAAACCTCGCTGCCGCGGATTAAGCTCCAGTCATTCTCTGGCGCATACAGAGATTGGCCCGCGTTTCGCGACATCTTCCTGTCCATTGTCGGGAGTAATTTGTCCATATCTGACGTGGAAAAGCTCCATTACCTCCGCACGAGCTTACAGGGTCCTGCGAAAAAATTGATTAGATCGTTGCCAATTGTCGGAGGCAATTACGAGCGGGCGTGGTCTATTCTCAGTTCTCATTACGAGAACAAGCGGAAGCTCATTCGCGCTAACTTCGCCGCTTACACCGCCGTACCGAAGATAAAGGCCGCGACCGCCGACAAACTAAGTCGTATCTATAACGCCGCCACAACTGCCATCAATGCCCAGGAGAGCATTGACAGGCCTATCGACACGCATGGAATGGACCTCTTCAATTACCTGCTTGTTGAGCTATTCGACCCACAAATCCGAATGCAATGGGAGTCCTCCATCCGCGATTCCGTCGACCCACCAAGTAACGACGTCCTTATGGATTTTATCGCGAAGCAAGTCCTCACGCTGAACATCGTGACCGACCACTGTCGCGAAATCCGGAGGAGCTTTTCGGTCCGCGAAGTTGCACTTCGTGAAGCGCGCATCTGACTCCTCAATTTGCGCCGCCTGCAAAGAAAAACATTCCATTATGCAGTGCGCGACGTTTAAGGCCAAGATCGCGACCGAACGGAAAAGCCTTGTGGAAGCAAACAAGCTGTGATTCAATTGCCTCGGTAATCACTTCCTAACGAAATGTCAGTCGACCAAAACGTGCTTCACCTGCAAAGCACGACACCACACACTACTGCACGAAGCATACTTGCAATCCGATGGAGCGACTTCGTTGTCCGCCACACATTTCGCGTCGGACCGCAAGGCGATCCTCCTCGCGACCGCACGGGTCACCATCAAGAATGACTTGAGAAGATCGCACGACGTTCAAACACTGATTGACCAAGAAGCCGAGGTCTCTCTGGTTGCCGAGGCTCTGGCACAACGGTTGCGCCTGCCGCGTATCCGCTCCTCGATGAGAATAGCCGGAATCGGAGGAGCATCCGGAGCAATCCGCGGACGGCTATCGATGATGCTCTCCTCGGCAATCACTGGAGCAACGCTCCCAGTTCAGGCTTACGTTCTTCCGCGCCTCTCAACGTACAGGGGCCCGTCGTGCGAACCAGCGTCGCCTGGCCACACATACGCGGTCTCCCTCTGGCCGATCCACAATATCTCGACCGAGACCCGATTGAGATACTGCTCGGCGCGGCTGCCTACTCCGCCATCCTTCAAGATGGACTTCGCAAGGGACACAAGGACGAGCCAATCGCACAGAAGACCTCCCTCGGATGGATCCTGTCGGGAGGTCACAGAACCATGACCCAAGGCGGCCATACCGCTCATCAATACGCTGTCGACCGCCAGCTGACCGACTTGGTGCAGCTCTTCTGGGAACAGGAGAAGGAGTCTACCGCTCCCGTCGCTCTCACCCCGGAAGAAAGAAGATGCGAGGACATCTTCGCGAGCACACACACACCGACGCGGGACGCTACGTTGTGAGGCTTCCCTTCTCCGGTGCTCCACCCTCTCTCGCGGAGACCCGCAGGCCGACCGAGCGTCTGCTCCACGCCATGGAGCGCCGCTGCACCAAGGACGCTTGATTCGGCTGCCTCTATCGCAGCTTCATGCAGGAGTATGACGACCTGCAACATATGGAAGTTGTAGACACCTCATCCGAACGAGTGGACACCGCCAAGTGTTACTTACCGCATCACGGAGTGTTGCGAGAAACGAGCACCACTATGAAGCTCAGGATCGTGTTCAACGGCTCACAGCTCACGACCTTGGGCACATCACTCAACACCAGTTGGCGCCAGTCTACTGACTGGCGCCAACCTCTTGTCAGCTCTCGCCGACATGCTTCTTCGCTGGCGCTGGCACCGCTACGTCTTCGTGGCGGACATCGAAAAGATGTAGCGCCAAATTCTCATTCATCCAGATGACCGCAATCATCAGCGGATACTTTGGCGGCACCGTGCTACCGACAGCATCCGCGAGTACCGCTTACGAACGGTCACGTATGACTTGGCGTGCGCGCCATTCCTCGCCATACGGATCTTACACCAGCTCGCCGACGACGAGAGTCAACGATTTCCACGAGGAGCTGTCGCGTTGCGCCACGATACTTACGTGGACGACATTGTGATCGGCACGAACACCGTCTCGGAGGCCACCGCTGCATAACGGGAGCTCCGCAGCCTCTGCATGGCGGGCGGGTTTCCGCTTCGGAAATGGACGGCCAACAGCGTCCTGGACGGAGTTCCACACGAGCACCGGCTCACCCGCTCATCTCACTCGTGGTCACACAAAAGCCACGCGACACTGGATCTTCACTGGCACCCGGCCAGTGACCACTTCACCTTTTCGGAACAGGCACGTTACATCAACGAGCTCACAAAACGACGCGTCCTGTCCGAAACCGCTCGAATGTTTGATCCGCTGGGTCTCACTCCGGTCACAATGTGAGCCAAAATTCTGATCCAGTCCGCCTCGGAAGCTGGACTGGGACACTCCTCTTCCATCGGCGAACAAGCTTGCCTAGAGGAACCTGTTCTCGCAACTTCCACGCCTCAACGAGATTAGGATATCTCGCTGGCTCGCCAGCGACGGTCCACACTCACGCGTCCAACTTCATGGGTTCGCCGATGCATCGGAGCGAAGATACGCCGCCGTAGTGTACCTCCGCTCCTCCACTGAGAAAGGCACCACACTCCACTTACTGATCGCAAAGGGCAACGTCGCCCCCGTGAAGCCCGTGTCTTTACCTCGACTCGAGCTGTGCGCGGCCGCCCTCTTAACGAACCTCATCGTTCACACGCGCACGTTGCTAAGTTTGTCCTCAGTTCCAGTCTTCCTCTGGTTGGATTCCAAGGTCACGCTGCACTGGATCCACGGCCACGCTTCCCGCTGGAAGACCTACGTGGCCAACAGAGTGTCGCAAATCCAGGTCCGACTAC